AAAATTAAAAAAAATAAAAGTGGGTTTGTTTTAATGGAGGGAAAGAGAATAAATAATGAAAAAAAATAATTTGATAATTTAAAAGGAATAAAAATATAATAATTAGTTAATTCAATTATTTATGAAAGTTTTCTTTAAATTAATAAAAAATATGAATTAAAAATAAAATAATATTAAATATAAAATAGTCATTTTTATAAATTTTAAATATTATTAAAAATATTTAGATCAGGGGTTGAAACTTTAATCTTACTTTTCATTTCTCATATCATTCAAACTGCAATTCTTACAATTTTTTTTTATTTTTTTCTTATTTACTACTTTTCATCAAATAATTCAATTTAATTTTCTGTTTGTTTATTTTCTTCTCTACTATTTCTCTTTCGTTTTTATATTTATTTCCAATAAATAAATTTTATGAATGAAAAATGTATTATTTTTTATATTCTATTTAATTTTCAACAAACTCTACACCCTAGTTTCCATTTCTCATATCATTAAAACTAAAGTTACTAAAAAAAATATTTTTTACTTATTTATTATCTCCCATCAAATAACTCAATTCAATTATTTATGTCTTTTTCTTTATGTTTTTTATTTATTTCTTACAAATAACTTTTATGAATGAAAAATATATTTGTAAAAAAATTGCTATTCAGTCTAGTTAACTTGATTGGACATGAGATAATAATTATATTATCTTTTTTAATTACACTAAGAATATTATTTTCATGCGGTATAAATTTCATGTTTAATCATATATTCTCGAAATTGTCAATAAACAAGTTAAATACTAAAAATAATAATTTGATCTATTATAAATATTTTAATAAATTGAATGATTTTTTTAATCTTTAAAAATCAAACTAAAAAAAATTAATCCAACGATGACTTGAATTAAAATCAACCAATGAAACTCACACTTATTCACATGTGAGAGGATTGCAGTACACCACCACAACCAATCACATTCATTTATTTATGTATAAGTTTGTAACAACAACAAAAAATGGAGTACAATGTACAAATAAAATTATAAATTTTATCTATATAGGAAATATATATATATATATATATATATATATATATATCAAAAATAAATATAAAATAAAATTTTATTTACTTTTAGTTTTAACCTATTTTTGTTGGAGTTTGTTTTTATGCAAATATATTATTCAAAATCATTTATTAAAATACACAAAATAAGTTATTAATTTAATTTAAGGATGTCAAATTTAAAAATTATATAAAACAAAATAATTAGAATTCAGTTCTTCCTATATTCACGTTAAATTATGTCAAATTAATCATATAATGTTCATATAAACTCACATTTACATAACACAAAACTTAACATTTACATAACACAAAACTTAATCACAGTTGAAAGATTAAATATTAGAGATCTACACCTGTTATATCACAACTTCCACATTACTTAATACAAGAATACTCAAATTGATATATATACAGAACAAGAAAATTAGTCTTAAGGTGCTCAAAAGACTCATAATATAATTTTTTAATAAAAATTTGAAGGAAAAAAAATTGGTGTGGTGGGAGGGAGGGATTATGACTCTCATGGCCCTTTTATACACTCACATATCATCAAGCTAAAATTTTAAATGACTTATCAAAATATAATTTTTTCACAATACAGGTTAAGTCATTAAAAATCTCATTCAACTCTCATCACTCGATCCTTCAAATTATTAGTAGAATCAAAATATTTTCTTCAATCCCAAATCAAATCCAGTGATAGATTTTGACTAATGACTTAGGGGAACAAATAAAATATTAATAAATAAATATAAAAAGGTGAAATAATATAAAAAAATGAGACCAAAATTGTAAATACACAAGATGTATATTTAATAATTATTAAGTTTAGGGGGACAAAAATCATAAATATATATGTAAATTACAAAATTTTAGGAGACAATGATTTATCACCTCCCAAGAAACTCCATTTGTCAATATTTATACATACTACACTAAATATTTGAAAATACCCCTTTATATTTTAAGACACTTAGATATATATTAACATTCAAATACACTTCAGTTCATGTTTATAACTTATATTCTAACATTCTAAATCATATAGGTATCATTTCTCACATCTACAACTTTTTTTTTCTAATTTGACCCCAATGCCTATTCTTTTGAACATTACTTTCAATGTAGATATTTTTTTTATTAATTCTTGGTTTATTAGATTCCCCATTTTTTTATGCATTGCAATTATATATATATATATATATATATATATATATATATATATATATATATATATATATATATATATATATATATATATGCTTAATTTTATGTTTTGAGTTATTTGTTATGATTTTTTTAAATAGTTGGACGAATTGAAAGCGTTGATTGAATTTTGAATATGTTGGATAAAATTTGAATGGTTTTTTATTAATTCTTGGTTTATTAGATTCCCCATTCTTTTATGCTTCAATTTGCATATATATAATGCTTAATTTTATGTTTTGAGTTATTTGTTATGATTTTTTTAAATAGTTGGACGAATTGAAAACGTTGATTGAATTTTGAATATGTTGGATAAAATTTGAATGGTTAAGCAAATTATGTGAACATTTTCAATGGTTGTCTTTATCAAAATTTTGTAAAGTAAAATCTACACAAAATAAAATTATCAACATTGTCTCAAACCTACTAGATGGATTTAAAAGGGTTAACCAATATTTAAGCACTTTTAACATTGTCTTAGATCCGCTAACCTAAATTAAATCTTCTAGACAAATTCATGACAATATTAAACTGGATAATCAGTCTAACGCATTATTTTTCAATTTTCCAAATCAAATTAGATATAAAAACTACCCTTCAAATACTAAATCAATTCCTCAAATTCATTTTAACTACAATACATCCATACAAAAAATGTTATCATTTTCAATCTCAAAAATTAATTATATATTTATATTTAATGTTCAATTTTAATTATCTCAAATAAACACACATATAATCACAAAATCCAATTTTATAATTCAAGCAATATAACCAAGTCATTTTTTGAATCTAGATTTTCTAGCCCGTAATACCATAATTTTTTTTTTAAGAATTATTAGTTTCCATTATCTCATATACAATCTCTCTAAGTCAAAACTCCAAAACTTCCCATTAACCAATTGAATATATTACAATACTTTTAAACTAATAAATATTTATCTTTTTTCAACAAAGTTTACATGTAAAATCTCTCGAGACCACATACGACCCTAACCTCCAACCTACATAAATATTCTAAATTTGAAAAAAAAAAAAACTTAATCTGTTTGAAATTCTGATAAGGCATAAATAATTTTATCTACTCCAAGAACACTATTAAAAAAACAAGGAGAAATAAGGGTGACAAGTTAGGAAATTTTTTTTATAAAGAAATAGTGATTTTAAAAATAAAAATTGAATGATTAAATTTTTTTATTTATAATTTTTTAAATTTATAATCGGTAAAACTTTAATCTCACTTTTACTATATCACTTTTATTTTCAACTTAATTAAATTATATTTTCACAATAAATTTAAAAAATAATAATGTGAAATATATTTTTTTAGGTAAATAATGTGGTATTGATGTTATACAAATAAAGGAGAAATAAGATTTTTATTGTATAATTTACATGTTTATCATTATATATATATATATATATATATATATATATATCATTATATATATAAATATATATATATATATATATATATATATATAAATTCAATTAAAAAAATTTGAAAAAGAAAATATTTTTTATTGATCACTTACTAATTTATATTTTTTCTTTAAATAAAAAATATAAAATTAGTTCACTTAAATAAAACAACATAAATAAAAAATAATTTTATGTTTTAATATAAAATAAAACTTTATATTATTTTGTAATAAATCTAACGGTGGTGAATATTGATTAAATTTATCAAAATTACTAACCGTAAATAAATAAATAGAAATTGCATTGGGATAGATGAGAAAAGAGAGAGAAGGTCGAAGAATAAGAAGAATGAATAGTCGTCTTTTGATCTTATCCAATGAACGAATTGAGAGAGGCGGTGAAGATGATGAGAGAGAAAACGGTCACGCATTTGCCAGCCCACAATAACTCAAAAAGGGAATCACACTCTCGAATATTCAAATCTATACCCTCCTCTTTCCCTTTCATTCATTTTTCCCCATTTATTTATTTTTAAACAATTACAGTTTATTTATAAATATACCAGTTTATTAGTTTAGTTTTTGAAACTTAAAAAAAATATAAAATAAATGTATACTTTCACTAAATCATTAATATTCATTATAAATTATGTTTTTAGATTTTTATATTATTAGTTAATAAATTATAACTATCGATATAATTTTAAGATAATCATAATAATAAATAAAATTATCTATAATGGAACATAATATAAAATTATTTTACACTATTAGTATATACATTAAGTCGTATTTATAAAAGTCATAATTTTTAGAATATAAATATATTGAAAATAGAATAAATAGTACGTATTTATTAATAATAATAATAATAAAAAAAAAAAAACACGAATGACAAAACAAGGAGAGAGAGTGAGACATAGTAAAAGAGGAAAACAAGACACTGGTATATGCAAGAATATAAAACGCATCAAATATTCGTTTTTGTACGCGACGCCCCGACCTCGATGTTTACCTCGGTTCATCTCCACCGTTCAATCCCTTTCTCTCTCTAACTCCCTGCACCTTCTCTCTCTACAAAGTTTATTCCAAATTTTGATTCTGCTCAGATTAGATCCCATTTCACTATTTCTCATTGTTGGATCCGTTTTCCTTCCAAGCTTTGACAAAACGCCATTCCCTATATATTCCTTCTCATCCTCTTCCTCAAACTGTTTTCCCTCTCACACCCACAAAACTCAAAACCCACCATCACATAATCATCAAAGAGAAAAAAAAAAAAGTTTTGAATTTTCAATGCAATTAGCTGAGAAAATGCTTCCCCGGAAAATGGGGTTTCGTGATTACATCGAAGCATTGGAGGAAGAAAGGAGGAAAATTCAAGTTTTCCCCAAAGAGCTTCCTCTGTCGTTGGAGCTTGTCACGCAAGGTAAACCTTGAGAAATGAATGCATAATCGGACCCTTTTGTGACTTGAAGTTGAGGTTTCTTGCTTTTGGTTTTGGGTGTGTTGTTTTGATTTTTGCCATTATTTTAGACGTGAGTTTTGATTTTTTTTGTTGTTGTTTGTTTGTGTGTGTGTGAATTTGACGCAGCAATTGAGGGGTGTAGACAGCAATTGTCTGGAACGGTTGCGGATTACAATCTGAATGGCCAATCGGAGTGTTCAGAGCAGACATCAATGGATGAAGGACCTGCTTTTGAGGAATTCATTCCTATTAAGAAAAGGGCATCTCAAGATTCTGTTGAAGAAGAAGACGACGAAGATGAAGATGAACAACATTCTCATCAGCTAAAGAAAACCACTTCTGATAAAAAGAAATCAGATTGGCTCAGATCCGTTCAGTTGTGGAATCCCAATCCCCCTCCTACCAAAGAGGTAACAGAAAAACCGTCCAAAAAAGGATTTTGCTTTGTTTACCTTTAAGTTGAGAAATTTTCTGAAAAAAGTTTTATTTTTGTTTTGTGGGAATCTAGGATGTGCCTAGAAAAACAAATGTTGTTGAAGTGAAGAGAAACGGTGGAGCTTTTCAACCGTTCCAAAGAGATGAAAAAAGTGTGGTTAATGGAAAGGCTAATAATGGTGCATCAGCAATTGGTAAAGCACCCTCTTCACCACCAGTGCCTGCTACAAGTTCCACAGGACCAATGAGAATAGACAGCAAAAAAGAGGAGAAAGGACAGGCTCAGAGAAAGCAACGTAGGTGTTGGTCGCAGGAATTGCACAAGCGATTCTTGCATGCACTTCAGCAACTTGGAGGTGCAGATTGTGAGTATCACACTTGGAACTGGTTTTTGTTTTGTGCTATAAATGGATGCAATTGTAACTTTGTGTCAAATGATTGATAATTTGGTGTTTGTTGTAGCTGCCACGCCCAAACAGATCAGGGAGCTAATGAAGGTTGATGGCCTCACCAATGATGAAGTCAAAAGCCATCTACAGGTTAGTGTGTTGGTGCTTTGTTCATTTCAATTTCTTGCCTCGTTTCCATGATCTTGTATAATTTCCCTTTTTGGAACTGTGCCAAAGACTCTCAGAATTGTCTTTTTAAATTATAATTGGGGTGTTGTATTTTTTTGGTTTATCACATTACAGTTGACCTATCTTTATAAAAAAAATGATGATTTTTTTTTCTTCATCACATTTGTTCTATCAATTATCTATTTAACTCGAATTCAAAATCTTCACTAAAATATCTTATTTATTCTAGTAAAATATGTTTTGACTTCAATTTTGAGTAGAAAATTTGATTTTGGTCATGATAATTTATGTAATTGATGAATTTCACTAGGATATTTAAGGTAGGAAACAAAATTCAATAATAATTAAATAATTAAAATAAATCAAAGTTATAGTTTTGAAATAGTTAAATAAGTTTTTTTTTATCTTCGAAAAAACCTTTAAAATTCTGTCCACGTTTTTTATATTTAACATATAATAATTTATTACATTAATCTTTTCGTGATAATTATTTCATTACTTTTAAATTAATGATATATATATATATATATATATATATATATATATATATATATATTTACAAATGTATCGACATATCATATTATCAAAATTAGCATGTGAAATTTCAATTCAAAAGTAACATGATGGTTTATTCTACCAAATTAATTAACATATTTAATAAACATTGCAAAAATTTGGATGTATCAGTTTTAACATAAGATAATCGATGTTATGAAAATTTATTTAACATTTTTTTATTGAAAATATAGATAATAGGAGTATATCAAAATTGAAGATTTAAAACATATTCTATTCCCTCTTTGAATTTTCTTGAGTTTATATTTATATGTTCCTTATCAATGGTGGACTGAGATATTTTGTTGATTTGTTATGTACAGAAATTTCGTCTACACACTAGAAGAAGCCCCATAATGCACAACAATGGAAGTTCACAAGCAGCCCCTTTGTTTCTTGTGGGGAACATTTTTGTGCAGCCACCAGAATATGGTGCAGTGGCTACATCAACAGCTTCTGGAGGAGAATTGACCACAGTTTCTGCTCCAACTGGAATATATGCACCAGTGGCTGCACACCCTCCACCTGTCACACACGCAACAATTATGAAGCATTCACATTCTCAAGAAAGACCTAATAATCACAGTGTTCATTCAGACTCACCTGCCTCATCATCCTCCACACACACCATCACAGCTCCTTCACATGCCCCTTGATTCATTTTCAAACTTGTTAGTGTAAAAAAATTTTGTAATCAATATTGCAGTAGAAAGAAAGAAACAAAGTCTTTGTCTTGTTATCATATATTTTATCATTTTTCTTGTAGAGCTTGTCTATATTAACTTAGATTGGTTCGTTTTTCAACTTTTTTGAATAGATCAAAAGTTACAAATTTTATGTTATGTAATTCACCCTTTTGGCTGGCTACACAGTGATATTTCCTTGACAAACAAATCACTGGCCTTTTAAATTTTTGAGTTTGGAAGCACGTTCGACATCCACTGACGTGTTTGGTTTTGCATCATATGATGTATGTGTCCTTTGGAAGCAATTTTATGTTTTGTTTGATTTAAAAAAGATAAGAGAAAGGAAGAAAAAAAAGTTTTTTTTTTAATTTAGTATAAAGGAAAATACAGAAGTAAAGCTTTAAACGTGTAAAAAAAAAAAGACATACTATATCTAAAATGACACTACAAGTATCTTAAAATAAACAAAACCATAATAAAAAAAGATGTCATTTTATAATATAAGTTTTCTTTCTCTCCAATTTGATTGGAACCGAATTAGTGAATCGATTATTTTTTTCATATCATGATTTTAATAGAATTACATGAGAAAATAAGTAAAACGAAGAGACTTTCTTTCTTCTCTATTATTTTTCCTTTTTTTTTTTTCATCAGTCAAATAAAGTGATAAATTCTTAACACGGTAGATATGTGTTTGGATGAATGTTAGTAACACTGATTTTGTATGAATTATATATTGTGATTCACGTTAGATCATTTTAAAGTGTATTTGATGAAAAAACATTAATCATCTTTGTCCATTAAAGAGTTTATTTTAATCCATAATTTTAGGTAGCTTTTGAATTGGTTAAAAAAATTATATAGCAAATTTAATAGTAACTTAGATGTAACTGTTCTTGACCCACAGTGGATATTAAATGCTTTTGTCAAGAAAATAATACAAAAAATAATAAATAAAATAACTTGGCAGAATTAATTTTGATCACGGACGATACTTAATTCAACATACGAATATCAAATTATTGTGCTTGTAATTTGGGAGTGGAGGTCCAAATTTTTGTCGTGGTTATTTTGTTTTGTAGTGAGTATTATTGGGTTAACAGGATTCTAGTGATTTGATGATTCTAAAGAATAGAATCTGAGAATATCCCACAGAATATTACATGTATGGGACAAAGAAATTCACACTTTCAACAATTCTGAAAATACCCACCCTGGAGCATAATTTATATGAATAATATTTTACCAAATTATAGTATCATGTTAAACTAGCAATTAGCAACAAAATAATAATTATATGCTTCAACCCAAAAATGTTAGCTAAAAAAATATGAATTGTCCTCAATTATGAGCTATGATGAAATTTTGTATGTTAATACTAATATTTATTGCTACATTCAAATAAAATGTTAAATTAATCCTATTAAAGTCAATATATTGATATGACAGTTTGGTAATATATGGGATCTGATTATAACCATTTTTATATTTCTTGTCTTCTCTTCAATGGTGAGACACTGACACTCCTTTTTATTAACCTTGCAAGTTAAACAAGAGCATCTTGCAGCAATGAATTAAAAATTGGGAAGATACATTATTTAAAGTTATTTGAAATGGTAGATTCTTCATGGAATTTGTTCCACAGGACCCCTTCAAACCACTTCCTTTGTCTTCTTTTGGACACATGTCCTCTGCAGAATAAAATATTAATGTCTTCCTTTTCTTTGCCCTCTCATGTCTCTGATTGTGTGCATTACAAAATTTAAATGCAATCAAAGCCTAGTAATTAAGTTTTTATATATATTTAATAATGTGAAAGTAATTATGTACCTTTTTATTTCATTTTATTTGAATTTTATTTATTATAATATTTAATTAAGTTAATATATATATTTTATTTTTTAATTCACCGATAATTTTTAAAAATAAAAATAAAATTATAATATTAAAGGTTAAAGGCAAATAATATTTAAAAATAATAAATAATTATAACAAATATAAGTTCTTGTTGTTAATCGGAATATTGATTTTAACATTAAATCGAAATAAAATCTTACTCTTTTTTATCTTTTTGTCTTTAATTAAAACACTATTTTCCACCTGTTTATCTTGTTTAGAATTCTAAATTAAGAATAATTTATATATATATATATATATATATATATATATATATATATTTAACCCATTGAAATAATTTTTAAAAATAAAATTATAATAAATTAAAATTTTAAAACAATATTATGTTAATATGAATATTTGAAGATAGAAAACAATAATAAATTTGTTATTTATAGCCATTTGAAAATTTATAAAATTTTATTTTTTATGAATTATACAGTCTTGCTTTTTTATATATTTTTAAAATAATTTTTGTATTATTATAAAATTAAATTTTAAATCAATATGTATATATTATGAAATAAAAAAGAAAAAGAAAAAACTCAACTGTTTATTATATTGAAAAATGTTATTATATTATATTTTAAATCTTGAAAGACAAGTTAAAATAAATTGATAGCTAAAGAAGCTGTTTATCTTAAATTTGTACAGTGTCATATATTAAAATTTTATAAAAAAATTTATTCCAATATTAAGACGGTTAAAAGTAAATATTTGACTTAGTTTTTTTTTCTATTTTTTAATTCTTGACCTGAAGAATATTTTTAAAATCAATAATAAATAGTTAAACACTATATTTTATTTTTTAAACATTAAAGAATTTTAAAAAAAGAAAGAAAATAAATAATGCTTAAAAATGGATGTACTTACACAAATTCAAGAAAACGAACTATCAAAACTTTCAATGATCCTATATCTTTACATATTTTCCTTTAGGTTTGATTTTTTTTTACTGTTATTTGATAATTCATTATATTTCCATATTCCTATATTTTCTTATTTTTCTATACTTATTTTAATTAATATTTTGGGTTTAATTATTAGTGAATTTTTATTGATTGGGTTTTATTGGGCCAATAATTCAGATTTTAATTAATTTAAATTTAATTTTTGCTCATTATTATTTTCAGGACAGTTTAAAACAATTTTGGGCTTAGGATGTCATGTCAATTGTCCATTAGGATTAGAGTTTTTGTTTTATTTGTTTCTAATGTGTTTTGTGGGTCAGTTGGGCCCAAACCTAGAGATAGACTAGAGTGTAGGGTTATTTATGGTAGTGATCACGTAAGGCTAGAGAGGCACATCACGCGAAGACACATCACAGAGTCTTATCCTCGGAACGCCAATTCCTTCTTTTGAATTTTGTATTCAAGTTTGTTTACTCTTTTGTCATTATTTTAAATTCTTGTTTCGATTTTAATTATATCTCTTCTTCTGCGTTTTCGATTTTCCATAGATAGCTAAATCTTTATATTGATCTTATGAGGAGAATGCAGTAGATCTTTGAGGTTTTGTTCTTCTATTTCGTTTGTTCTCTTAACTTTTTATCTTCTAATCTTAGTGTTAAATTATAATCTGTTTATGCTTAATAAATCGAAACTAATATCACAGTTTGCTTAATCATGTGTTAGAGATGAAATTATGTGATGTATACAATCCTTAATTGTATAAGGATAATCTGGGTTAATCTTCGCTTAGTTAATTAATTTCGGGTTGGAATAAGGGTCAAATCAATTTAATTTTGTAACCTAGGATAAGTGACACTACATTCGAATTAGGAAATCAATTGTTTTCTCATTGTTTTATTTAAATTCTATTTTGTTTAATTTACTATTTATTATTATGCAAAACACATTTTCTTTTCAAATTTAATTACTGCACTATTTTATTTTAAACAAATTCTTGATTCTTACAATTTTAATTAAAAATACTTTATTTTAATTTTATAAATTTCAGTTATTTAAATTCTGCATCAATTTAATTCTCTTTCACTCTTTCATTCATATTTTATTTAATGTTTTAGAGAGACTGATATATGGTGAGTATGTTTCTATAATTGTGTCCTTGTGAGATTCGACACGAGTTAGCTATACTACGTTAGTTTAGCAACTTGTTTATTACATGTTGTTATCAATTGGCATCGTTGTCGGGGACACAATTGTGTTGCGTAACATTGTCTAATATCAATTTTTTCTAATTTTTTTTTCTAGCTTTAGTTAAAAAAAAAAGTTATTATAATTTGTTCTTGTGTGTTCCCTAACTATTCTTGTAGGAAATTTTTGATAAGTCATCCTTGCAAGAAAACTCTTGAAAACCATTATCATAGGAAATTCTGGATATAACTTGGTAGTGTGAGAGTGCATGTCTAGGAGAGTTCTGGCTAGGAAAGACTTGATACTTAAACGTGTCCATTAGTGACCCACCTCTCTTTCCTGGGAACCTACCTGGTGTACTTGTTCACGGTCTACCTTTGCCATTCCAGTAAACAAGTGATTTTGAGGATATGAACTTTGAAATAACATTGGATGAGCTAACATCTGTGGTACGATAATTGGCCATAAACTAGCACATATTTCAATAACAACAATATGTATGTGGGATATGCACTTCCATATATCATCCCACTGATGTATACCCTCAACTTCAGGAGACACCAAGCTTAATTAGTGAAACAGTGGGCAGTATATTCCCTGAACAACAACATTACGGGCACTTATATTCATACAGTCCACAACAGGAGTATTATCCATACTTGGGCACATATAATTCTGGCTGGAGAGATCATCCAAACTTGAAATATGATGATGTCTTCAACCAGCCACCAAAGATGCATTTCCAATCAATCAGCCAAGGCATTTACCCACAACAAGAGTATCAACCTCCCTCACTGGGACAACAGGCGAATCCACACATTATGCCAATACATCAAAGCCCAAGTGGTATTATGCAATAGGGTAACTCTAGGCCTACACTAGAAGATCTGATGAAGCACCTCACACAACAGATGATAACGCAGAACACACAACTAGAGCAATGCTTCAATGACTTGGAAACCCAAGTTGGGAAAGTGG